GAAGGCCCCGCATGGGATCTAAGTCCCCGCATGGGATCTAAGTCCCCAAAATACTCTCATGGGGTGAGACTTTTGCTCTTGCCCAAACAAGTCTGTGAGTGGGGATGGAAAAGCCAGGTTTTGTTCATACAGAAACACATCTATGCAGAGGAATCTGTTATACCAGAAGGATGAAGAAGATGACCCGACAGTGATTTACTTGAACTACTGCTTTAACGTTTGTCATTAGTGAATAGTCTGATAGAAATAGGAGGCAGAGAGCTGAATTGGAGGAGAGATGTGACTTCCTGTCTCTACATAGCGTTGATCAGACTATTCATGTAAGTGCTTTTCTCCACACATTTTAAAACAGGTGGTGAAAAATTGGGAAGGATATTAAAAAAACAGGATGCAATGATTTGAGGAAAAGAAGAGAAATGCTTTATAGCAATGCACTTAAAAGCTCAATCTGTTTAGTTTTTGAGAAAGAATACTGAGGAGTAAATAGACTACAATATATAAATATCTTCATGAGGAGAAAATATGCAGTACTAAAGGATTATTTAATCTTGCAGAGAAAAGCAAAACTGGCTAGAAATAGCCAGAAAAAAAAAAACAACAAGTTAGGAAGTAAGGATTCTTCCTTAATTCCTTAACACAATTTTGATAGTGTTAATTGCTTCTAACAAACTATCAAGCAAAAAAAAGCATTTTTCCCATCACTTGATAACTTTGATTGCAGCTGGATGCTTTTATGGGAGACCTATTTTAATCCACTATACACTATTGGGATCACTACAGGCTTAACTGTGACATGGTTAAGATAAGCGCAGTCCAAGAGGATGATTTTTTCTTAAGCATCAATGTTATGTATATAAAAGCACATAAATTGGCAAGAAGTATTTACCAGCCAGAGGTCTGAGAAAATGGTTGTAATGTGACTATGGTAGGATTGCAGGAATGGTCTCTGCTATGTTTAAAGGAATATACTTGTTATTTTTCTCTTGCTGCTCTGCAAACATCCCTATTGAGAGGGAGTACAACATTGGAGTCAGCCCATTAAGTCTGAACAGGCACAATGTTTATTACCCAGTGTCAGGCAAAACACTTAATCAAATGTACTCTGAGCGTATCCATTTGATTTTGTTTACAAATTAGGATTTCCATGTATTCAGTGCAATGAGTTTATGTACTCAGAGGATCTGCACCTTGTAAGCATAATTTCCTGATTTAGCTGCCTTTTTCAGTTGACTTTCTTGTTTTTGAAACATGCAGTTTTAACTCGGTAAGTAAACAGCCACCCTTTGCAGTCCAAGCAGTCACACTGGCTGTGCTCTCAGAGAAGGAATGGCTTCCTCCAGATTGTGTCCTGCTTTGTAGGCACTTAATGCTAATAAATGTAGGAATATTTCTTTTTTTCCTGAGCATCTCAGCATTTGCTTCCAGAAGAGATTGACTACAGAACCAGAAGGAATTTGCTGCTGTTTCTATTTAAGGGAAAACATTGGGTAAAAGAGCTGCAAATCTTATCAAGGTAAATAGAGTGACACAGACAGGAAAAGTTGCTTCTTTCAACAGGAAAAGGATTATAAAAGCCTCACACTTCAAATGCTGAGGTCTGAGATGCATTTGTTGAGCTCCTGTTTTGGGGAAATGAACAGAATGTGATGCAAAGTGGACATCAGTCTCACATCAGACCTGGCTACTACTGGTACTGGAGTTACAAAATAATCTATCTCCCAAAGCAACCGATTTCTTCCCCTGTTCCTCTCCCCAAATCTTGTTCCCTACATCAACTTACATCAGCGCAGAACATTTTTGTCATACTAACACTGGCTGTCAAAGTCATTCTGATTTTAAATAAAATAATGCTTGCAAGACCAGAATTTTGACTTAAACAAACCACCCAGAATGCGCTTACGACAATTTTTCTGGCTTTAAATTCCACAACATTTACTGTACATGATGTGTAGTTAAATGTAGCATAGCTTGATGCAGGATTTTCTCTAAATCTCAGTATAGCTGTTCCTTAAGTGAATGTGATGCTCTCACAGTCATGAACATACAAGTTTTGCCCGAAACATGCACGCTTCAATAAACAATTAGGCTCCATTATGTGCAATAGCACGAGGCAATATTAGAAAATTCTTTTTTAGTAATGGGGATAATGCAGTCGTCATCAAACATTGCTATCTCTTGTGGGCATAAAATGCAGTTTAACAGAGGTTACACTCATGTCCCTTGAATGTGCAGGGTGAAATGCACATTTGTCCGAGAGTTTTTGCACAGCATATCTCTTAAGCCTTCAAGTGGAAATCAAATACAGGGCAGTAAGAGGCTGGCTCTCCAGACTGATAAAAGTCAACTCTGCCACCACTCCAAGACAATTCAAAGCTGAAGACGAGCTAAAAAGCTCTCCTGGGAGAACAGGAGTTCAGGCCAACTGCAAAACACCCTCGTCATGTTTGGTCAGTTGGGAACCAAATCTTCTCCTCTTCCACTAGTCCCTGTTTGAGAAGAGGGGACACCGCTATAACTTTCTGACATAATTTCCAGACACATACCAGGCTGTTGCATAGTTTCACCTCTTGAGCCTTGAGCTTGTGGTTAGTCTGGTGATGTGGTGTTTCTTTGGTCCATCCTTTTCTTTCTGTCTTTCTCACTACTATTGTCAGGATCCTGCTAACTGTAAATGAGTTTGAGTCTTTGCCAAATATGTGTCCTCCTTCAACATGACCAGGAGAAACTTGCTTTAGGTCTTGCACTGCCTCATTTCACTAAGTACCACTTGACCACTTCTTTCTGAAGGAAACCATACTGACTTCTGCTGCAGCTGATCAAGCCTCTGTTCTAGTAATCAGGATAAAGTGACACAGAGAAAAGCCAGTCTTCTTTTCCATCATACTGACTTCCTTTTTTGTTCTAAGTAAGTGGCATCATCTCATGTCATTTTCACAACTTGCTTTTCTGCAATGTCCAACAGCACTAAGAAGAGCACTGTCACCCACAGCCATGGCTGCAGGGGTTTACAGGCATCCTCCAGTGGTACGCTTCAAAAGGAGTGCATCTTTATAGGCTATAAAAATGGCATCAGATTGACTCACGCTATTGCTCAGACAAGCTGACTAAAGGGTACATCACCAGAATGTAATGTTGGCTTGCAGAACATCACTATCTTCTCCACATATCAGTATCATATCTGCGAGAGATGTCTTTCAAAGGTGGCTTCCTTGCTATTCATCCCATTGTATCACTTCAGGACCCCTACCTGGATCCCCCAAGGGTCATCACAAGGACATTTCAGCAGCTAAGAGATGAAGCTGAGCATTTTAATATCTTTTCCCTCAAAGCCAATGAGCACACAATGTTAAAGCCAGTTCTGGGGCTTCAGTCTGATCCTCACGAGGATCCTCACAAGTTTCAAGGTCTCAGCTGATACATTACAATATTGCAGGATCCCTACATGCTATTTATACTTACAGTTTATATCTTCTATGGTGGTATCTGAAGACCACTGAAAGAAGTTCCCTTTTAGCTGGTACTACACAAGGACTAAAAAGTCACTCTCCTAAAACACTTATGGCCTAGACAGGCAGGAAAAACCCAGGAAGAGAAAACACACAGAGTAAATATGATTATTAGGTTACAAGTTTCTGTCAGTTTTAAGATGTTTTGTGGCTATCTGGGATGAGAGTTGCTTTGTGAGAGGAGACAAGCTAAAGGATAAAAAGGAGGACACGAGAAAAAAGGGAGGACAGAATATATAAATAAGTATGCCATGAAGAAAGCTGAGGTGAAAGTTTTCTCACATCTCTATTCCCCAGCCTAAGTGCCGTCCATACACATTTATGTTATAGTACTTAAATAAGAGCTGTCAGACCTAACACATTTTTCCCTGAATTATTCATAAATCTGCAAGATCACAAGAGAAGAAAAAGTTGCTATTTGGATTAAACTAGTTAATTTTCATTAACTTAACTGGCAAGTAATTACTAGTTTCACCCGAATAACTTACCTTAACACAGGTTCTGTAGCAGCCATAATAGAGATGTAAGTTCTTTAAAACAATTTTTGTGTGTAATGACTGAAAGCGTAATTTTCTCCCACAATAGACCTGCTAAGCCTCTTTCTTTTCCCCTTTTGTACACAATTAACATTTAATATTTCTATATTCCAGGTAGATGCCAGAAGAGAAATAGGTCCTAAAGCAGTCATCATCAATAGCCATGTAGGAGAGGTCCGTCGTGACTAATTGCATTTGACGCTAACTACTGTTTATTGAAGAAACTGAGTGAAACATCACTCTGATGTGTTTCTGGATACTCCCTGCATCTGTTGCAATTTGCCACATTTCCTGCTGTTGGTGCCCCACTTCATGGGGCCACCTCTCTTGTGGATGGTGCCTAGAGGTGTGATTTGGAGAGCGCAGCTATTTCTTAGCCAGCACCATGCTAAGTGCTGTACTTAAGCCGTTCTTTAAAGTAGGGTGCTGGGAGAAGCGACACCTTCCATAGTATCCTGGGTTGGTTGATACACACTCTTCTTCAGCTTTCACTGAAGGCTCCTACAGGGATGCTGGAGTACTGTGAATTTGGCAATAAATCCTAAATAGTAATTTATGTCAACGTCCCTACTGAAGGGACACTACCAAAAGTGAGTTATTCTATTCCCTGCCTCGCCAAAGGCCAAAAGCATTAGTTGGGAGTTAGGAGTAACTGATTAAATGCATCATGACTACCCAACCCAACACTGAAAATGAGAAATTTGTAGGTGTTCATTTTTAGCCTAGCTGCTAGTTTAAAAGAGCCAAATGAAATCTGTTCAACTAAACAAAGGTCCATGCCAGTACTTCCTCTACCAATATTTTAATTTTTTCAATTTTAGCTAATATTGCAAACTCTTTTTTGACTCCTAATTAAATTAACCATGTCATCTACAATTAATAGTTTGGGTAGGAGAAAGACACTTGCTGGATTGATAAGAATTCAAAAACATCAGAAGAAAAAGCTGTACAAGCAATATGGTAGAAGTCATATTTATTGATAAAAATTAATATATCTGCTATAAAATTTGTAACAGTAATGCGACTGAATATTTATTTTGATGCATAAACCTGAATGTTACATACCAAATACAATACAGTAACACTGGTTTCCTCCTTATTTACATGTTTATGAAAATTGATATGCAATCCATGTTAAAAGAACTTATAATGGAGAATAATTACATTAGAAAAATAATATTCTTGATAAAGCATTCTTGAGGACTCCAATCACATTTTCAGGCCTCTTTCAATAAGGCAAAAATCCCTGGTACAGCATATAACTTAATTTACAAAATACAATAACATCAGACACATCTTCAAGTTTTCTTTTGGTATGCTTTTTCTCACTGTAAAATTACTCAATTTTCTTACTAAACAGAAAGAACTTTCAATAACAAAACTTAATGAGTTCTACTACATATTACATAGACATCGCTGTAGCTTAGCGACCATAACCGGGCAATCTTTCTCTTTAACTGTTTGCTCAATGAGCTTTTCTTAGATGTAGGACATGTAGTATTTTGAAATCATTATGACTGTGGTATCTTTCTTCAGTTTTCATAGGAAACAGATCTGTCACTTTTTGAAACTTTTTAAAAAATTTTTATTTTATTTTAGGAACTGGTGCACAACTACATTTTCACTCACAAGAGAACGTCACAAATGTAACTAAAATTAGGCTTGGATAACTTTGAAAACATACTACTATGTGCCCAAACCCAAATTTCTTACTTTAATACTTTATAACCCTGCCATGCTCTAGGAATTCTTCTTCTGCATAGCTTCATTACTAGTCACAGTCAGACAGTTTTAATTCCTTCAAAGGCACAAAACTTCCACCTCTTTTCCAGTGTTGCTCCTACACCAGTGAATTCTTGTTTAAACATGCGTGGCAGTCTCATCAAAAGCATTTCTATCTCATTTGCAGAGATCTGAGAAAGAGAGAAAGGTAAAATTAAAGTGAGAAAGCTGCCTTGTAGACTGGAAAGAGGAAATATGGAGAACAGAAATAAGGCGGAGGACGGAAATCCATTGCAGATGAATACAACCAATGATTATTATTTTTACATTTTTTTTAATCTTAGTCTGTCATGAATCTCCAGAGTCCAAAGGAAGTACAGATTCATTGCAGGGCTGATTCTGCTTTTTTAAGTAGTGTCCCACTGTAAAAGAGTTACAACTGTGCTACATCAGGGCTGCTCCCTCACAGTGTTGTACAAAGCCCATCTAAGAACTATGGTTGCAGGGATGCTTGTAAGGAGGAGGAAGCAAATGGGACCTTATTCTTCCTTCTCATCCTGTGAGCTCTTGAATCCTTCTCCTCCCAGCTCCATCAGTTTTTCTCTTGCAAAAAAACTAACACAGGGATTTATTTTTAATTAGCTCACTTTTGTTACTTAGGGTTGAATATCCACGGAGCCATCATCTCCCACTTTGACCCAGTTCAATAGCCACAGATAACAAACCGGTGAATTTCCTGACTCAGCATTGCTCAGAATGTTTTATGGTCTTGAAACCTTAATAACTGGTCACATTCCTAATGGGAAAAATGCTCTCATTGCAGAAAACACTTTCACAAAAGCAATCTTTCTGGTATAATAAGTAGGGAAGTCAAGAAATGAACAGTCATGGAAAATGAACCATTTTATCCTGCAGCTGCTACTTCTTAAGTGATGGTCGGGAAAGGATCAGTATAGAAATCTATGGGTGCTGCCTGTTATCCGCAGATATCTCCATGGTTTGATAGGCTTCTCTGGCAATGATGACATTTCTGCTTATTCGTATGAGAAGAAACGTCCTAAGGTGGAAAGTTTTACTTTTTAAAGCAGCACATAAACATAAAATATGCTGAATACACCTCATTCCACCGAAGGGAGGCAAGGAAATATCTATCACTTCGTATTTTCCTGAAGACATGAGTGAAGCAGAGAGATTAAATGATTTGTTAAATGTGGCGCCTAAAATCCGTGTTGGAGGCAGTCTAAATTACCAGAGTAATCAGGTCCATCCTTTACGTGCTCTCATGGCAGTAATGGATAGCTGGTTACCTTTGGGTAATGTATCTGAGCTCTACACAGAGCCCTCAGCCCACATGGGTATGCTGACCTTATCAATCCTGCTCAGGTGAGGAATGACAGGCTAACCATGGAGAGTAACTGAAATTAATCTCTGAGATTGCATCTCTGGATTGCGCTATTAAAAAGTAATTTTTTGCTGCAAGCAGTTAATTCCAAAGTAAACCAGTGAGGTCAAATTTTGTAGCTTGTGTTTGTTATGCAGGAGGTAAGCTGAGCTGTAGCTGTAGGGGTTGGTACGTTGTTGCCTCAAAGAGATGGAGACAATGCTCCTTCCATGAGGTCATGTTTGCAAATTAAGGGTTTGATCCTGGCAGCCTTGCAGATGCCAATAGGTTATTCACATGTGCAGAAATTCAAGAACAGAGTCCACAGACACGCACAAGGCGGGACAGCAGCAGTGAAGGAGGGAAAAGTTGAAGAGCACAGTGGGAAGAAGCAGAGAGCAGCAGGGCTGGAGCCCGAGGAACCGGTTATTTTAACTGATTGCCATTGTCACTCAACAGGTACAGAGCTGGAGGGGCCAGTGAGGGGGAAAACAGGTGAAATGTAGCCAAATGCTGTGTGTTAAGGAAGGGCTTGAAAGATGACTGAGGAGATTGAGCAGATCAGGGAATAGAGAAGCAGCTGAGAAATGGTTGCTGTTGTGAAGCTCTGGATGTACCAAGTCTTGATAAAAACATATATATATATATATATATTTAAATTGAAAATCACCCGTTTCTCACGTCTTTCTACTTTCCTCATCCTTCACTCCCTTTTTGTTGTGGGTAAGACTGTACTGTAAAGCACTAGCAAATCTGAGCTGTCATGGACTGAAGATGGTGCCTAAGAACCTCATCATCCTTCCTTACCCCTCCATGCAACCTGTCTTGTTTCCAGTGGGCTTCTGGCTCAGAATCAACTCTGCTTTTAGCTATACATTTTTCCATAGAAACAGAGGAAGGATCCTCCCAGGGGCATGAAGCAGCCCATCAAAGTAGCCCATCACAACAGCTGTAAGGTCTGTAAGATCTTGGCGACCAGTGGCATGGCTGGAGGAAGTGTCCAGGAGCAAAATTTTCCTAGGATCAATAATCATCCCACAAGGAGTGCCACTCATGTTCTGAGCCCAGGTGCCCACCATAGCTGCATCCTGACTCCATGTTGCAAATTCTGGGCAAGCACCATCATCTCCATGTCCAGTGGAAGTACTGGCAGATGTGGATCAGAGCTGTGGCTAACCACAGGGTGACCCCTGCATCTGCTAAGCATCTCTAGCATCCCACAGAGCTGTTGTTTAGCACTTAGAGTAGCAATCACTTGATTGAATCACAGAATGTTAGGGATTGGAAGGGACCTCAAAAGATCATCCAGTCCAATCCCCCTGCCGGAGCAGGAACACCTAGATGAGGTTACACAGGAAGGCATCCAGGTGGGTTTTGAATGTCTCCAGCAAAGGAGACTCCACAACCTCTCTGGGCACACAACTTTTTGAAGCAAAGGAATCACCTCCTAAAATTCTGCACATTTCAGTGGCCATGGCCACACCCGCCACTTGTTCTGCTTTCTTTGTCCTCAGCTGTATTTCAGGATCATGTATCGTAAAATCAGCTGCTAGTCTCTGCCACTTAAAGAATAGCTAAATAGCACAAGGCAAAGACCTCAACACAAGCACGTGCACTGTAATTTGCGAATGAATAAAGACTGCAAACCCCAAAGCCCCATATCCCATTATCTTTCTAATGGAAACGCATGGAAAGTTTAACCTGCAGTAAAGAATAATACAATATTTCTATAGAGAAAACAGATTTTGATTAAATTTTTTTACCCTAGAGTCCAACTGCTGCATGTAAGACCAAAGATATTCTATATTGGCTCCAAAAGGGTGGACGTGAAGAAATGTGGATATGATACCTGTATTAAAAACAAATGCACACAAAGTATTGAAATCACCTCAGACAATATATCATTAAAATAAGCAAAATAATTCTGAATAGTCGGTTCTTGCAGGTTTTTCGGTATGAATGATGACACTTATTTTTCTTACACAACCCAATAAACTTAAGAAATTGCACATTTTTAATACAGTCATAATAACATGGTAAACACAATAGCTCATCTTCAGGAATGACAGCAGTTAGCAAGTAAGTGACCAAGATAATATACTGATGAATAAAGGAATTTCTAAACAAAGACTTGCTGGAAGCATTTCAACTACCAATTTTATGCTTGATTTACCAATATAAAATTGTGGATATTGTAATGGTAAAATTATTGCTTTTTTCCCCTTCACTGGATGCTCTGTTGTGAAAACGTTTCATATAATTTTGTCAGAAACCTCACTCCCTCAAATTTTTCTCGTAATTGCGCTGATGCTGGTTATGAAAAGTGTTTAATCCATATTACCCCTAACTGCTGCTGAAGAAAACACAAATCCTTTATGACATATTTACTTATTTACTTTCTCTTAAAAGACAGTCAGTTCTGTTTGTCTTCATTGTTATTTACAGGGTTGTCATAAAAGGTATGGGAATAAAAGTGGCTTAGGAGGAGTCAGAATGTGTGTCTAGAGATTTTTGTTTCCAGTGAAAATCAAGTGACAGCATAATAATGATGACCATAGAGAACAAGATTTGGGAATTGCTATTAAAAGCACTATCAAATTTATCCTCTTCTAAACAAACAATGAAAATACAAGATGGCATGTGTGTTACTTACTGTTTGGGGAGAGTTGAACTGTAAGAATCAGAGCAAATATTTTCAACTCTGTTTGGATGGGTTTCTTAGCTGAACCACCCTAGGGGAAGTTCCTTATATTTAAAGCATAAACACCAGGATTAAAAATGCTTACAAATGACAAAAATGGGTCACTGTATCTTGTGTACTGCAGGCCATACTGCTTTCTTGATGCTGAATGAATTAGGATAATCTTGGATTTCATTTTTCTCCAAATACTAGCCATGGTTGAAAATGATAAGCAAAATTTAACTCCAGTTAGACTGGCTTCCCTCCCTCATTCTTCCAGCAGCATTTACAACCTTGTAATCCTGCAAAGGGAGGAGTGTGTGTTTGATTTTATACTATGGTGGGTCCTAGCAGAAGTTGCTGTCTTTGTGCTGTGTGTGACCATAAGCACGCTCACAAGAGCTCTTGAAGCAAAAGCCAAGGCCATCACACTTGGATGGGCTGGCTGGAAATCCAATTTGTATTCAAATTACACTTTACCCGTGGCATTACGTTTGTTATGTGTGTTCCCAATGCTTTTCAATTCAGGATGTTCAAAGCCAGCTCTTCCATATGAGGTAAATTAAAAGTAATTTGAAAATATTTTTTAGTTATTGACTGGAGTTCCATGATAACTTTTTAGTATTTTTTTTTTATGCTGTTTTCCTCTAAGACAATATTGAATTGTGTAATATATAGACAAACTTAGTGAGTGGATGGAGGCAAGGCCTGTTTTTTCCTTGCCACATTTGAACATGCCTCAGAGGAAGAGAGAACGTGAAAGCCATCTTGAGGAATCTTTTGCCTTTGAACTGTGACAATGAGCCAATTGTTGGGGTATTATGACCAGTGATATCTGGACTGAGATTTCATTGTTTATGTGAGTGTGGCACTGGACAGCTGGTGGATGGCACCCACTTTGGGACGCTGCCACCACTTGTTAAAGTCAAATAACGAGTGACCTAGAAAAAAAAAGTTTGGTACTCTGTTCTTAAAATCTCATCCTTGCTACCCTTCTCACGAAAGTTATCTCTGAACAGATCAAATACTGTCCATTGCAATAAAAAGTTCCAAATTTTATTATAGCAAGTTAAATTAAATAAATTCATACATTTCTGTTCAGTCCACTGTTCCACATCTCAGTCACAGGAAGTCCTTTAAACATTTAAATACATTCTTCATTTTCAAATGACCTTTTTGGTCTGACTTGTGTGAAACCATGCCTGAGCAATAAACCAGCAACTTTCCTGGTGCTTAGCAGATGCAAATGAGTTGTATTTAAACAAATTACAGTAGTTTTGGAACGATCACCTACTGGGATATTGCTGATTTTGTGAAAAGACCAAAGAAATGAAACCTGCTCTTTCAGGTCAGCATTCCTGTGAACGACAACCATGCCTTAGGGAGCACTTTGGACTCCACAAAAACCTGCCCCACTGAAAACAAATGCAAAAAACCATGCATGGACATAAATGGGGCATGTTCCCTCCAAGGGTAGCATGGTTTTATTCCTGTGTGGGTAAATGCTAGGTACCAGTTAGCTGGCCCACTGTCTTTAGGTTTTAGGCACTCTTTAAGAGTTTAAAGATTTTATTCTAGGTAGAGGATATGACAGACCTCGTGGTATTCTTTATAAATATTCATATTGCTAATTCCCTCACCTAATGTCAAAAGCATAAATCTGGTTTGCTTAATACATCCAGTATACATATTTTTTGCTTGGTAGTTTGCTAATATTATTTCCATCTCCATCTCCTTCACCACTTTGTCTAGTGATCAGATAACAAGTTACAGAATTGTAGCTGCTAAATCCTGATGTAAATAAAGTCTTCATACATTCATGCTGCAAATCTAAATGCAGATCCTGCAATTTTTTTCATACCTCAAATCCTTTCATTATACTTTGCAGAATTTTTCAGAAGGGAAAAGTTCTCTTGTATTTTAGCATTTGTCTTACTAAAAACCATTATGAATACAGATGAAAAATAAAATATGTTATTTTTACTTTTATTTGCATGAAGATGCATGTAAACACATATGCAAAACAAAAACTTGTTAAAAGGCATTTTGTTCTCAAAAATCTTTGGGGTTATCTTACCTATTAATAGTGCCTCTTTCTCTGATTTTAGACCCGGGCTTCTTTTCTCTGAATTTTTTTCTCTGTCTTGGTTGACCAATGCTACTGTCAATACATTGATTTCCTATAAAGTTTAAAAAAAACCAAACAGGTGGTCATGTAGATACCATTTACTTGAGTTAAAGCTGTCTGCTTCCTTTCAACTCTATAAAAAGAGATCATTACTTTAATTCACATCTAAAGACAAGACAATTATAAATAATTGATTTGTTTACAGAATATTGGACACTTTTTGAAGTACCTTTATGCCAAGAACTGCCAAGAATAGAAATTTCACTTGTGGAGTAAGGAATAACTTTGTTGCTAGTGCTTCTTTATTATAACAGCTTGAAAGATGTGCCATAAAGTGTGGAGATGGTCAGAAAACTCACATTTTCCAGCTATTAAAGCTGTAAACAAAGATTGCCTCTAGGGAACATGGATGGAAACATTCAGCTACAGCTATAAGAGTAAATTCAACAGTCACCAGCAATGTTTCTATCTACTAAAGCACAATCATCTACTGTGTTATACTCTTCAACAAGTGCCTGGCATGGTGTTGGCCCTCATCCCAAACAGTTCCCAGGCATGTCTTGGGGGTCAGCACATTTCAGGTACCATTTCTAACAGGTGGGTTGTATAAAGCTACCTTGTTTAGAGGATTGCAAGAGAGGCAGCCTTAAGGGCAAACAGCTCCTGCTTTGAGCAGCTTTTTCCGCAACCAGGTGGCCTGAACCACCCAAATCTCAGCCAAGCTACCATGTGTTAGATGCTCCATCAGAAGTAGCCAGGCAGTTGTGTGACACAGATTACTCTTCTCCTGGGTATATGTGAAGCAAACAAATAATCTCTATTTCAGAGGCATGTTAAGTGGCCTCAAAGTGCATTGCGCAACATTCAAGCAGATACATGGGCTGTTTCCATGGAGCAACTGATACACGGTAACTCGTTCCTTGGTGAGGCAGTGACTCAGGCGGCTGCATCTGCTCTGTGAAACGCTCAGCACTGCCATGCGAAACATCAGAGGCAGAGAGCACAGGGCTGGAGATGTGGTGGTGTGAGCTGGCACTGTGCAGGAATGGTGCTGTCATTCTGGTTGGGGGAGTCAAGATAAGCAGCTGGATGGTCCATGGGACTGGGCAGCCTTAAATGCAAGGAAATTTGCACCATTTGGTGTAATGATGTGGCCCATCTAGAACATGCACTCAGAGTAGTGCTTTGCTCCAAAGTTCTTGGCAAGCATTTTTGGCAATAAAAGAAAGACACGGGGCTTGGGTCGCTCTAGGGCATTTCTGAACGTGTGAATAATCCATGCTAAAAAAAGGTAAAAACTCAAAAATATGTCAAATGTGCCTCTTTATAGATGACTAAAAGCTTCACAATCTGTGAGACTGGCAAAAAGAGTCAGGCACTTCCTCATCCTCATTTTTTTTTAAAAAAACACCACAAAAATACCCCAGTGATGTACTCTGTGCTCTTTATAAGCTGGCTCCAAGGAGCAGCTGTCCCATACGCGGTGCCTGATTGCTCAGATGCATCACAGATTCAAACGTTCCCTCGTGTTGTGGAGAGGAACAAGTTGCCATGTGTCAGCTGAGAAACTACGTGCATTGCAGTGACGTACATGCATACGTGTATCCTGAGCCCTCAGCAACACAGGGCTCTGACAGATCTAAGCCCACAGTGAAGGAGGAGTGGGATGCATGGAGTCACCTGTGGTTTGCTGCAGTTGCAGTGGCCAACTGAGGCATGTCTCCTGGCCAGAGATCTACATGGAGCTGTGTACACGTAAGCTACTCAGCCTTTGCTGCCTTTTTAGTCAGCAGAAATGAAATCACTTTTTTCATCATGTATTTTAGTTAGACACTTCTGGTTGAAATAAATCGGACCTTAGAGGTGCCTGGTTTATATTCCTCTTTGGCTGCAAAAGGAAACTTACAGCATGGATTTAGACAGCTACAGGCAGGAGGGAGTCTGCAGCTCGAGAGTTGGAGTGATTCCCTCTTAAAATAATGGTGTGCTCTGAGAGGTACATCACCTTGACACTAACACTCCTGTAGTGTTGCAATGCACGAGGCACATTATAGCAGCAGGAGTGTGCTTTAAGTTGCCCAGTACTGTTGACTCCCCTCCTGACAGAGCCAAAGCAAATGCTCATCTACTGCTGGCCATGCCATGCAAGAACAATGTAAGAAAACCCAGGCAAGAAACAGAAATAAGTGCTTGCATGAATTTCTCCATAAGGGCAGTTAATGACAAGGGGGTTACAGATCAGAACAACAGAGCTGGATGACAGATTTCATGATACTGCAGCAGAAGAGCAGAGCAGCATATGCCACCAGAGCTTGTATAGGTTAGGATGTAACTTTTTACTCCATCAGAGATAGAAAAGCAGTCTAAAATTAACAATTCCTGAGAGGGGAAGGAGAGAGCAGAGAGACATGTATTCGATATAGCAGGCCCCAAACACAACACACTAGCAGCTTCAGATGGGATTAGAAGTTTTGTCAAGCAGTGATGCAGAGAAAGAAACTATATTCCCATTGGGAGCAACGAACAGATGGATTCTCATTTAATGACTAGATTTGAGCCTGTGCAGAACATTTTGTATGATTTATACAAAATAGGACAGTGTAAATGGATGCTAAAGGAAGTCACATCAAGTCTTCCTTAACTGTGTGTTGGGATGGAGGATAAAATAATAAATACTTGGTTATGGGGGAGCCCGAGGAAACTAAGAGTGGCAAAGATAGCTGCTCAGCAAACGACTGGCTTATGAAGAAGGTTGCATGTTCTTGAAGGTGTGAAAAGGGCAGGTTCCTGCCATCCAAAACTGCCTTCCTCACAGAAGATGATAAATTAGACAACTCTTACATATTCAACTGCCAAAATAAGCTTGCACAGGCCATGGGAAATTCCAGGGTGTGCATGGTCACGTAAAGGATTCAGTAGCAATGTTTGCAAGAATTAATAGTGATTTGAGAGAAATGGACATAATTGTGTCTAAAAACTGAGTTTGAAATTCACCCAGAAACCAGGCTAATTATAGCATAAGTGAGAACCTTAAGTATCTGACTACACATTGCAGATACAAATCTGGTACCTATGAAGCCTCTACAACAAAACCTCACACTGTTAATGTGCACATTTTTAAACGCACCACTTATGCCAACCCACAGAATACCCTTTAAGAGTACAAAGGTGAATGAGGCAATAACTAATTGGAAACAAACAGTTGGGTCACCTCTCTACTGATCACCAGGTGCCTGAGGAAAATTATTTAATATATGCTACATTACACATTCCCTTTCTTTCCTGGAGGCCATCCTTTATTTGGCAAATTATATTTTCTGAGGCCCTAAGCAGTCTCCTTCAGCAGGTTTCATTATAAAAGGAGTATTTTGCTACCATCTGTCAGTTACTGCATTAAAGGACAAGAACACAGCTGAGCATGTGCAAAACCAGTACTTATTACAAGCGAAATGACCTTCCAAGAACTAAATACAGTATGTGGAAGGCTTAATCCAGGTTAAATCACACCTGGAGATCATTAGGGACCGGGTCCTATTCATTATTCACAAATTATATCTGGTATCAGAGAACATGGAGGCCTGATTTGATGATCACAGCTCTAGAGCTGCTCAACATGAATGCAACCATTCTGTGTGATGCTCTCACCATTTCTGGCTTGGAGCTTATCCCCGAAAATGACATTTTCATCCTTCAGCAGATGATGAAAAGGCATGGATTTCCCTTGTGGCCTTGACAAACCCTGTGATTCTGCAGACACCCGTTGGAACCAGCATTTTGATTTGGGGCTCCCTGC